TAGTAGTAGTAGTAGTAGTAGTAGTAGTAGTAGTAGTAGTAGTAGTAGTAGTAGTAGTAGTAGTAGTAGTAGTAGTAGTAGTAGTAGTAGTAGTAATAAATTATATATTATAGTATATAACTGTTGGACTTTTGCTGATTGACACACTCCGTCCTTTGATTTACAAGTAAACCTTAGAAGCTATACTGCATATACTGTATTATCCTTATATGGAGGCAAATGAGCCGTATCCACCCCAATATACCCTGATCCCAGATGTCTTATTGTTAAAGCAGAAGTATGTACCAGTTTTGTAGGACAAAACCTGTAAAACCTGCGAGAGACTCCTGTTATACTGAGAACTCTGGGGGAGGTATCTGATTTGGAATTTTGCCACAGTATACCCCTTTCTTCCAATTTCACTGCCCATGATACGTATAAACTCATTGAAGGAGCTGTAATGACAGACTCCAATATGGGTTTTTGTTTTCTTTTTTCTGATTGACTGTTGAAGTACAAATTTGTGGGATGCGAGCCACTACCCAAAGAGGCAAGATTGAAGCTATAGGGAAAGTAAAGCCGGTCCGACAAGGCTCCGGAATACAGTCAGCGACACCGACCATCCCCGCAATCTCGATCGTCACTCACGACCGTTTCGCACGCACCTCCGCTCCAAATGTCTCAGCCTCTCCAGATCTCTTGATTCCCGCCCCTCATTGCTTCCTCGGATCTCATCGTTCGCGAAGATGGCGACCAGCGTGGACGCCAAGCTGCTGCGGCAGACCAAATTTCCGCCGGAATTCAGCCGGAAGGTGGACATGAAGAAAGTGAACATCGAAGTCATGAAGAAGTACGTGACCGATCTGCCTGCAGGTTATCGGACAGGAAGAAACCACTACGGAAGCGGGGCAAGAGTGATTCACTGACTATCCGTCTGTTCTCCTGGCAGGTGGATTGCCGGCAAGATCTCTGAAATCTTGGGCAACGAAGATGATGTTGTTATCGAACTCTGTTTCAACTTGTTGGAAGGTACCCGATTTGTATGTCGGTCCTTGTTTTTACTCACCCCTCCTCTCTGCGGCGAACGCAGTGCGCTTTCTTTCGGGGGCTAGGTCGCTAATACGAGCTTTGTCTTAAATTATCTAGCCCGATGTGAAATCCCTCCAGATTCAGCTTACGGGCTTCTTGGACAAGGATACCGCCAAGTTTTGCAAGGAGCTTTGGTCGCTATGTCTGAGCGCTCAGGAAAATCCCCAGGGTGTTCCGAAGGAGCTACTAGAGGCCAAGAAGCTGGAACTTATACAGGAGAAGGTGCGAACACGAAAAGTGCCTGGTGTGACAGCCAACTTACCTCTTTGCCCTTCAGATCGAAGCCGAGAAGGCCGCCGAAGAAGCCCGCAAACAGAAAGAGCAAGAACGCACAAGGGAGAAAGAATTGGAGGACATCAGACGCAGAGAGCGCTCGGAGCGTGGGCGAGGAGGGGGGCCAGGAGGCGCAAGAAGAGGTGGTGGCCGCGGCGGTCGCGACTTCGACAGACGGCCGCGGTCTCCTCCCCGGCGTCGCAGCAGGGAGCGTTTCCGCGAGCCACCTGGACGGCGGGAGTTTGACTCGTACGTTCCCTCCGGACCTCGCAGAGGCCGTCGGCCTTCCTACTCCCCCAGCCGCTCACGTTCTCGATCCATCTCGTCGTCGCGGTCACCACCACCGCCGCGCCGCCAGCAGCAGCAGCGGTACTCGAGTAGGGACCGGAACCGGCGACGTCGGTCCATCAGCAAATCCCTCTCGCCGGACCGCGGAGACCGCAGCCGACGGCCCCGAAGACGCAGCCCTGATTACGGTGATCGCGCTCGATCCCATTCCCGCAGCCATTCATCCTCCCGCTCACGTACTCCCAGAAGAGACCGCAGAAGACGGAGATCCGTCTCTTCCCGCAGTGCATCGCGCTCGCGCTCGCGCGGCGTGAGAGACAAAGGCAGACGACGGGACTCGTCGGGGTCCCGCTCGCGTTCCAGGTCGCCCGGGTCGGATGCCAGTGGCGCCCGACGACGGAGGAGATCTTCGCCTTATTCTTCACGAGTTGATAAGAGAGAACTTACCGCTGATATTGCCAAGGCCCGCAAACCCCGTGATGACCGCCGCCTGAGCCGCAGTAGAAGTCGCGATGACCACCGCCGACGCCGACCCTCCTCGCGGGGGTACAACCGTGATCGCAGCCGCAGTCGAGGCCGGTCCCGCAGCGCTAGTCAGGGCTCGCGCAGTCGCAGCCGGAGCCGTAGTCGAGGAGACCACGCAAGGGATCGCAAGAAGCGTCGTTCCATCGAGAGATATGCCCCCGCAGGCCGGAAACGGCGCAATACGTCTTCCGTGTCCGCTCCTGGTGACAAACGACAGAGGATGGCTGATGATAATGAAGCGACAAGACGACCTGAACCGCCAGCAGAGCGACCGAGCGGCAGCAGCGATCAGGAGATGAAGGAAGCCGACGAGGTGGGTGAATAAATTTTTTCGAGGAGAAAAATCCACCACCACCAAAAAGCTATCGATATGGCCTTTTCATGATGTCCGTTCAATATTCTAAACATCCCTCGTGAAGCGAAGCTAACATGACGACTGTGTCTGTCTAGCCTGCTCCCTCTAGATCTACCCACGCCCGCATATCCAACTCGGAATTACGCGAGAGGATCCTTCGCGAACAGCTCGTCGCCAAGCGCCGTACCGCCTCGAGCGACAAGGTAGGTAGTCTTAGCCATTCGAAACCCTCCGAAGAAAGAGAGAGAGACCACAGAGAAGCATCCCGCGGAGGCATGGCCTAGCAGCACGGCACACAGCACATGAAAATGAATGGACATTACGAAATTTCGGTAGTCTTAATGCGAGAGAATGTCAAAAAGAGCACATCACGCCGACCATTTTTTTAACGTTTTTTCTTTTTTCTTTTTTTCTCTTTCCTATTCGTTTCTTCTGGCAATAACCCCGAGTAGACGCTTCTTTTTTTTCCCAGCCGGCCAAATAGTCGGTTATAGTGTCAACGCAAAAACAAAACAAAACAAAAAAAAAAAAAATCAATAAATCAATATACCTTATTCCAGCCATCGGACCTTAAATGCAATTCCAGAACCACGGTTCCCAGCTCAATAGTGTTTACGTTCCCACTCCACCACCGGTGAAATAGTTTAATATCTTAGAGTTCGGAGCCTTAAGTATGCCCGTTTTTGAGATCTACGGCCGCCACGAGGTCAGGAGGGACTTCCTCCCGCCCAAGGGGAAGTATCATAAACCTTCTAGGGAGAGCAGTGATTTCTGTCCGGGCTCTTAATTCAAAAAGTCAAAATGATCCAGGAAAAGGGGAATGCTACCACGCAGTCGGTCCGAGTACGGACTGCCCGCTGCGGAGGCTGCCCCCCTTTTTCCTTTTGGCTAGGCTAGGCTACTTACTCCGCGCCCAGCCGTTATGCTCAATAATGAGCACGGACTCTGCCCTTGGCCTTGACCTTGACTTTGACTGATACTCATAGTTTGGTCGATTGACTTCCTGTCGGATCCGAGGATTGAGAGGCATGGGGTCTACAAGGGCTACCGGGGGACTAACTATCGGCAAAAGTCGATAGACTATTTTACTTACACATACTTTGCGTCGTTGGAGGGTCGACTAGGGCAAGGAAGAGTGGGTGGGTGCATGCAGTAGGCAGGCAGCCAGCCAGCGGCCGGGGTCTAGTTACTATGTGGGCAGGCAGGTGGGCAGGTGGGAAGGGGAATTTCGAGGGTTAAACAAACAGCCACCCACCCAACTTACCTATCCACTGCATCTAACTTATCCATGGACTCTTTCGTCGGGCTTTTCTTATGTGAACTACGTGGACAGACGGTAGTTCTTCGTGCCTACGGAGTAGTAGGTAGTGAATATCCCCTGTTCATTTCTCCTGATTGAGGCTCCTATGCGATAACATGGGTCTGTACGGTACTGTACAAGCATGTCAAGGGCACTTGGCTTCCACCAAGCTACGGATTTCACGACTACTGTATGTACTGTCTCCGGACCGAGGCTACGATATTCACATCCACAATCAAAAGTAATAACCTTGGTGACATTGAGTTATTAACAATAATCTCCATCCAGGCCCGGGCCCCCGCGGCCAATTTGAAGCTGCATGCGTAGTGTCGTGTAGTGCAGTGCCATATCCCCTAGGGCATGCATCCCCTGGTCTAGTGCGACGCCCATCCATGTATGCATGTCTTACTCATAGTACTCTATACTGTCCTCGTAGTCCAGAATGGGAACAGCACCTGCAGTAACCGTGTAGGAGTCGGTCTTGCTACCTGGTAGTTAAGTTAGGTCGAACGACAACCTTCCCCCCTAAGCAACACGGGTTCTCCAACCCTGTAACCTGTAGGCTCATTTCTTCTCGTGATTTGATTTTCTTCTTCGTTTTTTTTTTTTTTTTTTTTTTTTTTTTTTTTTTTTCGATTTGCCTTTCTCTCCCCGAATATAAAAACATAAATCAAAAAGAAAGAAGAAGAAAAAGCAAAAAAGAAAACGAAAGGATCTAGACTCTTTCGTGGTGATGACTGCATAAGGCAATAAGGATGCCATGGATGCATATGCACTGTCCTACATACTAAAATGCTGGTACGAATAATCCCAGCAGCTACTGAGTACACACTTTTTCATATCCACACGAGATTCCGCTGCTTCCGCGCTTCCAACTTCATCCAGTTCCTCCTAGGAGTCTACTTTGATTCTATTCCTGGAAGCACCAGGGAGATAACCTGGGCACGGGAGAAGAGGGGTCGTGGTGTGATGTGATGAGGGCGAGAGAAAGACAGAGAGAGCCACGAAGGGGAATTGAGATCGGCCGGCTTTGCATTCGCGTAGGCGAATTGCAAGGCGGACGGATTTGGCACTCGAGGGGCCTTGGGGCGTGGTGGCTTGGGAATCCCAGGCGGGAAATGCAAGTAGCAAGCAAGAGGGATGCTGATCGGGGCGGGATTGCTGTCGATCAGGCGACGTCAACACTGGGGCTGAATGGGACAGACAGCCTCGAAGCGAGGGACCGAGGCATTGAGCGTTGATCTGTCTTATCGGATGTGCATACTTTGGAGTTTGGACGTTGAAAGCGACAAATGCGAGCCTTGTTGGGCATTTGGTAGTAAGCGTGCTGATATGTTGGGATTACTCAGAAATCAGCATTACCAGGCAGTAGTTGGGCATCTTACCTGAATACTACTGCTACTGTCACTATAACGGAACAGCTAAAACCGAAACTTCCTCGATTATTCACAACCTTAGCTATAATACACAGTTGGCAAATAATACATGTTTTTGGTAGTCTCGCGGAAACGAATGTACTCCATTGAAGGGGATTTGCAGCAATGAACATATCAACAATAAAGCAAATACATCGTTCCTCTGACCTCTTGTAGCTTTGTACAAAGATAGGAAGCAGACAGTTAAGACAATCTTCAGAAGAATTAGAATTAGAAATGAATTAGGTATATACAGGAGCTTTCTTCGCCATGCATGCCGTTGCTATCGTCTCATGTCGGGTATGTTGGTGGTGGCTTGCTTACTCGCAAGCAGCGACGCTCACAGTGGTGGTGACAGTGACAGTGACCACATCGGAGCCCGAGCCGGAGCCGGAGCCTGCGACAGGAGCGGTGGTGATCTGGGGGGCGGAGCCTCCCTCAGCGGCGGTGCCGCTGGGGGCAGGAGAGCCCTCAGTCTGAGTAGCAACAGGGATGACAGTCTCAGTAACGAGGGTGTCGCAAGGAGTGGTGGTGGAGTCAGCGCTGGCACCCTCGGGGACGGTGCTGGAAGTAGGGACAGCAGGAACGCTGGCAACACCAGAGGGAGCCTCACCACCAGCGACGCCACCAGAAGGAGCGGCGCCAGAGCCACCCACAGTCTGGGTACCAACGGGGACGACAGTCTCGCTAACGGAGGTTTCGCAAGGAGTGGCGGAGGCATCACCACCAGCACCGCCGGCAGCACCACCCGAGGGAGCGGCACCGGAAGGAGCGGCACCACCAGGGGCACCACCAGAGGGAGCAGCACCGCCAGCGGGAGCGGTGCCAGTGGGCACAGCACCAGTCTGAGCAGGAGCAGTGGGAACAGAGCCACCCTCAGTGTTGGTAGCAACAGGGATAACAGTCTCGCTGACAATGGTGTCACAAGGAGTAGTGGCAGAATCGGCACTGGCACCGCTAGGAGAGGCACCGTTGGAGCCGGAGCCGTTGGGAGAGGAGCCAGAGGAACCGCTGGAGCTGCC